AACACTGGTGGAGTCCATGTGAAAAAGGGTATGGCAGTTTCTGAATGTACAACTTCCATATGGACACTTATCCTAAAACATTTCAGAAGTATATTGACACAGAAGCCTATGCGTATATGCTTCTAGGAATCCATACAGTAATAGTTTAAAATTAAGATATACCTATATATCATTCAGGAAGTGATGGTTAAATTGTGGTACATCCATACCATGAAATATATTGAGCAACTAAAAGAATAAGCTATTGGTACATGGCACCCCCTGATATAATCTCCCAATAATTATGCTAAATGAAAAACCAATCCCTAAATCTGCGTACCGTATGATTCCATATGATTCCTTCTATAGCTGTGTAGCCTAGGTCTTAGCTAGAAATTCTAACACCCCCCCTGCCTCAGTCTATTGATTGTGGGGGGTATTAACATGTACCTCCAAGCATACATGTATTAGACCTTGTGTGTGTGTGTGTGTGTGTGTGTGTGTATTCAGATTTATGCAAGTAGTGCATCAGAAGGAGTTGGAGGAAGGCCAGAGGACAACTTACAGGAGTTAATTTTCTTCTGCAACAGTTACTATAGATTGAGCTCAAGTTATCAGATTTTGGGACACGTCTGACTTCCTACACTTTTGGAGCTTACCAGTAGGCTAGTCTGGCTGTTCATCACATCAGGGATCTACTGTAGGCTAAGTTTTTTCAAAACCTACTTTAGTAAAGGTTCTCTAATTCTTCGACCCTGCCTTTCTAGCCCACCATCCAAAGGTAGGGGGGAAAAGATGGTAAATAGGACAAGGGGGATGTGGACTTGTTTAGAAGTAGTTCTTTGGGGTGATTTCAATCTCTGTTGTCAGGATACCAGCAGTTACCTGCAGGATACCAGTTCAATAGTGCTAGGATACCAATAGTCCAGTTCAAAAGTGACATCAAACACAAACCAGCAGCAGAAGCACGATCCTTCACAAACAGCAAGGCCCTCACCAAATCGGTATGAGTCTGCGAGAGTGACCAGAACCAGCTGGAATGCCTTGAGAAGTTCTCTGCTGAGCCTCTCTCAACAAAGTGAAGATCAGCAACGACTAGAGACCAATGACATGTTGCAGGGCTAGCAAAGCAAGCACAGGCACTCTATCACTGTCTGTTGGTTCCTACTTAAACTCTCTCCAAACCTCACCTTCCCTCTCACCCGTCTGCTTCATTTCAGCAAAACATCACATGACACAGCCAGAACTCTCCACTTGAATCTACCTATGTCTGCCTTCTCGGTACTATGCAGACAGCAGTGTACTATTACACCAGGCTTTGTGTGTGTAGGGGTGGGGAACAGAGTGGTTGTTTGACCCTGATATTTGAACTTAGTAATTATCAGGGCACTAAAGAATGGACTTGGGGGAGAGAAGAGAACAAGGCTATAGAAATATCATGTTAGTAATTCTGTGGTCATAGTGGTCTGTGTTTAAACTACATCAATATATCATGACTAATAGCAAAGTATACTTTTCTTTTTTTCTTCTTTATTGGATATTTTGTTTACATTTCAGATGTTATCCCCTTTCCCCATTTCCCACCCACCCAAAAACTCCCTATCTCATCCCCCCTCCTCCTGCTTCTATAAGGATGTGCCCCTACCTACCTCCCCACTCCCACCTCCCTGCCATCAAATTCCCCCACACTGGGCATCCAGCATTCATGGGATCAAGTATCTCCTCTCTTACCTAAGACCATCCTCCCCTACATATACAGCTGGAGCCATGGTTCACTTCCTATGTGCTCCCATGCTGGTGGTATAGACCCTGGGAGCTCTGGTTGGTTGGTATTATTTCTCTCCTCATGGGGCCGCAAACCCTTTCTCCTTCAGCTCCTTCTCTCTAACTCCTCCATTGGGAACCCAATGATCAGTTTAATGGTTAGCTGTGAGCATCCGCCTCTGAATATGTCAGGCTTTTGCAGACCTCTAAGGAGACAGCTATATCAGGTGCCCGTCAGCATGCTCTTCCTGGCATCCACATCAGTATCTACCTTTGGTGACTGTACAAGGGATAGATACTCAGGTGGAATGGTTTCCAGACAGCCTCTCCTTTAGCTTCTGTCCCACACTTTGTCTCCATAATTGCTCCCATGAGTATTTCGTTACTCCTTTTACTTATATGAGGTAAGATGATAGATTTGAATCATTTGAGATGATAGAATACCTAGTCCAAATGGACACATGCATTTTTAACAAATAATTTTAACATTTTATGTATGTATGTATGTATGTATGTATGTATGTATGTATGTATTATGAGTATGCTAGTGCCCTCAGAACCTGTAAGAGGGTATCAAATCCCTTGGAGCTATAGTTAGACAATGATGAGCAGCTTGATGTGGGTTCTAGAAACTGAACTCAGACCCTCTAGAAGTGCAGCATGTTCTCGTAACCAATGAGCCAGCTCTGAAGCCACTTGTAGCTCTGTGTCTAGGAATGGAATCTCACAAAAATTTCTCCCTTCCATGTTAGCATGTCCATTGATTAATAAAATAATAATAAAATAATAATAATAAAATAAGATGATGATGATGGTGGTGGTGGTGGTGATAATGATTACTCAGAACTTCATGCAGCCATTTCTAGAAGATACTGTTTCATAGATTTCCTGATACCCTGACTCTTATGTTTCTGCCCCATCTTCTGTGACAATCCCTGCGGCATAGATGCTGGAATTGTGATAAAGATGTGTCTGTCGGGCTTATGTTCCCCCACAACCTTGGCTTTGCATTTAGTATGGTTTTCTGTGATGGTTTCCACCTTCTATAAAAATGAGCTTCTTTGATGAGGGATGATAGGTAAGATAAGATTTTGAGTGCTGGTCCAGAGAAGTGGTGGTCTGTAGACATATAATAAAAAGAAGCTATCCACATGGGAGGGAGGGGATATGGGAGTGGTTTGAGGGAAGGTACCTAGGGGAGAGAAAAGGGATCAGCAGAAGAGTTGTCATTCACTTTCAATTTAACACATCAAACATTTTTAAGAGGGCATGGAGTAGAAGGGGCAGGTATGGAAAATATGGGGTGTAACAATGATCAGTATATTGTATGAAATTCTCTAAGGATGACTAGAATATATTGTTCTTAAAGAGACAGAGAGAG